TTTTTTTTAGATTTTTAGTATTCTTTGATGAATAGAAGTTCAAAAGAACAGGGATTATTTAAAATGTAAATATTTTGTAACATTATAAATGTCTTTACTGTCATTTTGGACAATTTAATCTGTATAACTAAATTACTATACATATATATGTATGTATAGTAAATTAGGTATTCAAAAGAGGTAATAAAAAAAAAGTTAATATATAAATAAAAAAAACTAGTTATATACAAAAAAAAAATAATAATATATATAATTTTTTTTTTTTACCTCTGGAAACACAGGTTGACTTGAAGGGGCTTTTGCTAAAACTCTTACTGACCCCAAACTTGTGAACAGTAGTGCAATTTTGATTCTAAACAACAACACTTTATAATAAAATAGTTCAAGCTAAATAAAAACTGTGCTTTTTGTTTTGTGCTTGGAGTCTAGGCATGATCAGTAATACGGTATATCACAATAATTAACATGTGCGACTGTATTATCAGGAATCACCATTTCCTCTGTTTTCTCTTTCAGTATGTCTCTCCTGAGCCAGCAGCCCTTCCTCTCTCTGGTGCTGACGTGTCTCAAGGGACAAGACGAGCAGAGGGAGGGTCTCCTGACTTCCCTCTACAGCCAAGTCCAGCAGGTACCTCATCAACACACACCGTGTGACTGTCAGTCAGTGCTTCTCATCTCTTTGGACTGATATGATGTATTCCCCCATCAGATTGTGACTAACTGGCGTGAGGACCAGTACCAGGATGACTGCAAGGCCAAGCAGATGATGCACGAGGCCTTGAAGCTGCGACTCAATCTGGTGTGCAACCGTTATCTCTTTCTCTCATAAGCTATGTTTCCATCACCCTATTTTAATGTGCATTTTGAAGTATTGCATGAGAAACGAGTGATGGAAACGCCAAATTTCGAATAAAAATCGTGTTGAATGTAGGACACTCTCTTATTGGGAGGGGCAAACTATTCCAGAGTTTACCGCCTATTATTGACAGTACGTTTTGTCCAAAAGTGGTACGCCTAAATGGTATCACACAGTCCCCATTTACAGAGGCCCGTGTGCTACCTCCGCTTTCAAGTCTTTGGAAAAAGCCATGCAGCGGAGGGGGGGCAAGATTATGTAACACTTTATATACCAAACAAGCATACTTGAAACGTTTGAAATTGTCAAAGCTTAAAAATTTATGTCTCTCTAAGATGTCGCAATGGTGGAATGACAATGCCTTTTTATTGTTATAAATTATAAAAAGTATATAAAAAATAAACATAAAATTATTATATTCTCCTAATTTTCTTAGTGATTTATAGTGCCAGTTTATCAGGAAGTGACGATTTTGTTCTCTTTGACTTGTTGGATGGAAACGATACTTGTTCGCATATGTTTTATGCGATATTCCAGTTTTGCGCATAAGTTAAATTCACAACATTGGATGGAAACCCGGCTATACTTCATCTGCCTTAGGCTGACCAAACAAGTACAATCTGTGTGTTGATCTGGCTCTCATCAATCTCATTTCCTTGTATTGTGTGCCCGAGGTTAAACTACCTGAATGTCACCAAGATGCGGTTAAACTGCACTGAGCTCATTTGTTATTTTGTGTCACGTGGTCTAGGTGGGTGGGATGTTTGATACGGTGCAGCGAAGCACACAGCAGACGACAGAGTGGGCGGTGCTTCTGCTGGACATCATCAGCAGTGGCACAGTGGACATGCAGTCTAACAAGTGAGATCTGACACACCCCTCATGCAGCCACTGATCATCTTTGCTCTACAGTCGGAGTTGAATAATGTTTGTTGTTTTCCATTAGTGAGCTCTTCACTACGGTGTTAGACATGCTGAGCGTGTTGATTAACGGCACTCTGGCGGCTGACATGTCCAGCATCTCTCAGGGCAGCATGGAGGAGAATAAGAGGGCCTACATGAACCTGGTCAAGAAACTCAGGGTGAGACTGAGACATACTGTGACAGGAATAAATTACATTTTAAGCTATATTCAAATAGAAAACAGTTGTTTTGAATTGCAATAATATTTGACTGTTTTTACTGCATTTCTGATCAAATAAATGCAGCCTTGGTGAGCATAAGAGACTCCTTTCAAAAACATTTTTAAAAAATCTTACCGATTGCACAAAAATGCACAAAACAATCAGACCTTAGCAACTGTAATAAGCAACGCTATATCATCATGGCAGTGAATTTGCGCAGACAAGCGCCACTCACTTTTCTTTCCGGAAATGTAAGACTCTGGTTTGCTTTGCCCTGCAGAAAGAGCTTGGTGAGCGTCAGTCCGAGAGCTTGGAGAAAGTGCGGCAGTTGCTGCCTCTGCCCAAGCAGACGCGTGATGTCATCACCTGTGAGCCCCAGGGGTCACTCATTGACACAAAGGGCAACAAAATTGCTGGATTCGAAAAAGAGGTACGTAGCACATTATAGGTGCAATTGGCTTCTGGCCATTCGCTTAACTTTGCATTGTGATTTCTGGCATACAGGGTCTTCAGGTGTCGACTAAGCAGAAGATTTCTCCTTGGGACGTGTTCGAGGGGCTGAAGCACTCTGCTCCGCTGTCCTGGGGCTGGTTTGGGACCGTGCGGGTCGACCGCAAAGTCACGAAGTTTGAGGAGCAGCAGCGGCTCCTGCTTTACCACACTCACATAAAGCCCAAACAGCGCAGTTACTATCTGGCGCCCCTCAACCTGCCCCAAGAGGAGGAGGAGCCACCTACACCTGTGCCTCCTGAGCCGGACAAGAAGGTGGATCCAGGGAAGCC